ATTATTCAAAAAATAGTCACACGCACGGACTTTTTGGACGGACATTAGTAAGTATTTTAGTTAAATAAATAAATAATGTTTGTTGTGTTTACGGAAGGTGAGGAGGGGACGAAATATTGTGCTCCTCTTCACTGAGGACAGACGGCAAAAGATATATAAAGTCGTAAACGAGAAAAACCGGTGTAAATAAGACACTATAGGACGAGAATACTACCATAATACTACCCATCATTGCTCGCCGGAAACGGCCTTAAACGGCGTCGTTTACGTTCCGGCGAAAAACGGCCCTCAATCCGAGCTGACGGAAAACGGTGAAAAACGGCGATCGTTTTTCATCGTTTAGGGCATTAATTACGCCGTTTTTTCACCGTTTTAGGCCTTTTAAGACGTAGTTTCAGACTGCCTGAATGATGGACCTGGGATGAAATGTATCTATTGATTTTTTATCATTAATTTTTGTCCTTATATTAAAACAATATGATTCAAGTGAATTCATAGCTTCAGTACGATCATGTTGTATTTCATCTTCTTTTTTATATTGTTCAGCATCAACAATCATACGTTGAATTTCATCTTTAGATAAATACCCATTATTATTTGTTATTGTTATTTTTTTTTCACGATCAGTTGACTTTTCAACAGCTGAGACATTTAATATACCATTAGCATCAATATTAAATGTATCTTCAATATTTGGTACACCACTTGGAGCTGGGGAAATACCATATAGTTCAAAATTACCCAATAGATGATTATCTCTTGCTCTTGAACTTTCACCTTCAAAAACTCTAACATTAGCACATGATTGATTATCCAAATAGGTTGTGAATGTTTGTGTTAGTTTTATTGGAATGGTTGTATTACGTTTAATTAAAGTTGTCATAAAATCATCAGCAGTTTCAACACCCTACGATAAAAAAAAAATAAGAATAAAAATATTTTCTTTTGTTATTCTTACCAATGAAACTGGTGCAACATCAACTAAAAGTATATCTTTAACTGCTTCAGATTTATCATCAGTTAATATAGCTGTTAATACAGCTGCACCATAAGCAACAGCTTCATCAGGATTAATTGATTTATTTAATTCTTTTCCATTAAAAAAAACTTTGAAGTAATTTTTGTACTTTTGGTATACGTGTTGAACCGCCAACAAGTACAATTTCATCTATACTTGCTCTATCCATTTTAGCATCATATAAAGCTTTTTCAACAAATTCAAGTGTTGAATGAAATAAATCCTCATTAAGTTCTTCAAAACATGCACGAGGTATTGTTGAATAGAAATCAATACTTTCGTGTATTGAATCGATTTCAATTGGTGCTTGAGGTAACAACGATAGCATATGCTAAAGAATATGTATTCTCTAAAGTTTTTATTAAAGATAAAATAGAAAATTAATATACTTTAGCAGATTCACAAGCAGTACGTAAACGACGAAGAGCACATTTATTTTGCGATAAATCTTTATTATATTTGCGTTTAAATTCTTGCACAAAGTGTGCAACCATTCTATTATCAAAATCTTCACCACCTAAATGTAGATCACCTAAACAAAGATTTTTATATAATTTTTTCTTAATTCGATTTCGTAGTATTTACCGACTGTTGATTTGACATTATATACATCTGCTTCAATTATTAAAATTGATACATTAAAAGTACTACCACCCAAATTAAAAATCAATATATTTCGTTGAGTGCTAAGTCGTTTATCGAAGCCATAAGCTAAAGCAGCAGCTGTTGATTCACTTAGAATACGTAATACATTAAGACCAGCAATAACACCAGCATCTTTTATTGCTTGACGTTGTGAATAATTAAAATAAGCTGGAACAGTAATAACAGCTTCGGAAACTATTTTACCAAGGTTAGCTTCTGCTATATTTTTCATTTTTGCTAATATCATTGACAATATTTCTTCAGGTGTTAATAATTTCGTTTCATTTTTATATTCAACTTGAATCTTTAGTTTATCATCATCATTAGTTACTTTAAATGGTCAATGTTTCATATCACTTTGTACAGTAAGATCATTAAATTTACGACCAACAAGTCGTTTAGCATTGAAAATTGTATTATTTGGATTCAATGCTACTTGACTTTTAGCTTCATCACCAATTAAACGACCACTCTTGGTAAATGCAATATATGATGGTGTTCTTCTATTACCATGTTCATTAGCAATGATTTCAACATTACCATATTGAAGTACAGCGACAGATGAATATGTCGTACCCAAATCAACACCTATTGCCGTTCTACTAGTCATTGCTCATAGTTATAACCAAAATTTTTCCAATTCTTGTGTAATATTTTTTATTTAATGCTGTTCTCTTTAAGGTTTCAGATGTTTTTAAAACTAAACATAAAGTACTAATTGGTTCGGTATGAAAAACTGACTATTTAAAATGAAATTTGAACAGCTATTATATTACTACAAAAACAGAAGTGTCATTTATTTGCATTGCACTCTAAATTTTGGTTGATCAAAAAAGAAAAATTGCTTTTTTTTCTCCTCTGTGCAAGAAGAACGAAAAAAAACGTGGTTGCAAAAACATACGCGTAGGAGATGTGTGGATCTCTCTTCTATGAGATAAACCCACCTTTACACTCCGCAATGTCATAGTTAATAATACTTCTCTCAGTTTCACAACAAATAAGCGATAACAGATGAAATAAGTAAGTATTAAAAAGAGGTATGCAAAATAACAACATTGTAGTTGGAAAAAAGGAAAGAAAAGGCTGTTTTACCTCTAGAGAAAAAAAAATATACGATGCAAAGAAGTAGTCTCTTCGTTCTGTGAGTCACATGCTATTATTAGAGAAAGAAATGATAGTAAAAGAACAAGCATGTAATAGTCAACTCAATCGTAAACCTTCGATTAACAACTTCGTCAAGAGAGTGTGGGTGTTGGTGTGTGCTTGTATGTATGATGTTGCCAAACATCAACACTTACACCTTACTTTTGTTAAACTTTGTTACATGAGAAATTTTTAATTGATGCACTCTATCCATCAGTATACCGAACCTATCAATCCTAAATTCGTTCACAATAAGGTTCACTTAGAAACATTTCTAATGATAACATAATCAGAAAGGGAGATGAAGACGTTCTCAAAGATTATGTTTGCTTATTCTTCAGAGAAAAGGGATTAGTATAGCTGAAAATTTAACTAAGTGGTACCTGAATGACTTCATGAAACATTGACAGTTTTCAAGATTTTAGTTCATTCCAGATAGAGTTACCTGTCTATCAAGTATATAGACTTCTCTGTATTATTTATATGTTTATGATGGGTTGTTTTTATTGTTGGACTCTTTATGTGTTGCGTTTTTTCTTATCAATTACAAGAGTAAAACAAAGAAGAATGTAGACCCTTATATAAAAATATTACAGTTCTTGCTCTCAACATATTGTACACAAAACTTAAGTCGCAATATGATGACGACTTTCACATAGGGCGTGAGTGTAGGGTGTGGGTGTGGGATGTGGGGGTTGGTGTGGATGTGGATGTGGGTATGGGTGAGTGTGGGTATCCTCTTCACCCACATCCACAACCAAACCCATACCCCACACCCACACACACACCCCCCCCCCCCCCCCCACCCCCACACACACCCCACCCACACCCCCACACCCTTTCGTTGGGTGATTAAATTCCTAAGAGGCACGAAAGACTGCGACTTCTATTGAGATGCAGATAGGGTGTGGGGTGTGGGTCTGGGTGTGGGGTGTGGGTGTGGGTGTGGTCGCATGAATATAATGTCCACACCCACATTCACACCACACCTACCCACACCCACACCAACACCCTATCGACGGCTCTGACATCGCTCTTTCGAATGGTGAAAACCGCAGCTCTCTATCTGTTTCCTATCGAAAGTTATTCAAAAAATACTCAGGGCTCTTTCATTTTGAAATGGATATTAATTATGAAAATAAACTAATTCGAAAATAAATTTTCTGTAGAAAGTCATATATTTTAGTTCACGGAAAACATTCATTGTAAACCAAACTGAATGATAGCCAAAACACATCATACATACTGGGTAAAAATGAATAGCGTCATTATTAAATATAATCTACTTGTACGTAAGCCATATATCGTAAAATATGTCACATTTCAGCTGTATGTACAGACTCATGCTAAATTGTTCCTAGAGAATTACAAAGATCTACATCGATTCATAATTTGACCTGTTATATCAAATATTAGGAAAATAAGTATAAAGGCTTGCAACCAACTTGTTTTTTCTACTACTTTCAGAAATAATTTTAATCAGTCTTTTTCATGTGTCAAATCATAAACTTTGAATAATTTATTTAAAAACAAGCAAGCAATATATGGAATAACTTCTTTGCTTTATGTAATTAAGTAAATTACATGTGATTTGCTTTGAAAGATATAGAAAGAAAAATGAAGAGAATTGATATACAATTGATGGTTACTTGAAAGATATCTATGAAGTCCTTGGTAAGAAGTACAGATGTGAGCTGATATACAGCATAGAAAAACAGATTAGAATGAGAAACTCTAACATCGAAATCTCATAAATCCGTCAAGGGTTTGTTTAAGGTTTCATTTTCATTGGTTCTTCTACAGTTATAAAGATAATAAACCTTGAAAAGTTTATTATTTATCTCACCTATATATGTTTGAAGGATTTAATATAGCTAAAATAGTGCACGAGTTTATAAAAATGGGATGTGCTTTTAGAAGGTTTATAGAAATATCAAATAGAGTTTACGAGGCTGATAACCTATTCTGCATATTGTGTTTACCGATGCTTTTTCAATAATATGGAGTGATTGAGTGCTTAACTGGATCTTCTCTTTGTTCACATGAGAATATTCATGTCTGTCCACACAGAAATAAGGCATTTTATCTTGCATTTTTAACTCAATAAATACAAGGACAGTTGAGTATACTTGAAAGATAAAGAACAGAGTATGTCGTGTTTTTCGTATTTTTCACCATCAAAAAACGAAAACCTGACTTAATCAGCACAGTGAAGTGAAGTGTTGCATTAGCTTAAAGAAACGATGCAAAATACCGTTCTTGTTTCTACTCTCTTATCTGGAATGAATTTTACGTGATATAATGAACCAAAAACATGGTCCAATAATCAAACCGCTATTAATGTTCATACCGACAGGAATACTGATTTTTGGCCCAAAACATACTATGGTTTTGAACGTGACAATGGTCATTTTTACTATCAATCACTCCCTGGAGATCAATCTTTCATAGCTACTGTTAATATACGAGGAAAATATAACACAATCTTTGATCAAGGTGGTTTAATGTTACGTACTGATGAGAAAAACTGAATCAAATGTGGAGTTGAATATGTTGATGGTCAACAATTTGCTAGTGCAGTAGTAACAGTGAATGGGTAGTCCAATTGGAATGTAGTTTTAATCAGCGCACCTGAAATTGTAAAGATACGTACTAAAAGAGAAAAAGAAACCGTACATATTGACTTTGCTGAAGGTGAACAAGGAGATTTTAAAATGATGCGGTTAGCATATTTACCATTGACAGATAGATCAAGAGCAATGATGATCGGAATCATGTGTGCATCTCCTGACAATGCTACGCAGGGATTTGATATTAGTTTTGAAAACTTAAATATTACAATTGACTCCAATACAAACGAAGGTGTACGTGTCAATTGTTGCTATATTTTTGTGTTTTTCTTTATTTCATTCTATTTTAAAAGTTCATTGTTTACAACAGAGGTATGCAACATATAAAAACAGGAGTTGCATTTTTTATATTCTAGCATTTTCCTATTAAGTTTAAATATAAAAGGCTTCCATTTACTGGATGATTAAAATATACTATGTAATCAGTATTTCAAACAATTATAAAATCAATAAAATGAATGAATTAGAAGGAAAACAAATAAAATAATCAGTTATAAATTAATCAACTTTGGTGAGGCATTTCAAGATCCGTTGATTACTTAAAAGATCAGCTATTAACAGATAATGCTTGCTGTTACAACTTACTTGAATTATCTTAACAGTGTGGGTGTGGATATCTATCTTCTGTTCAACTACATCCACACCTCCATACCCTAAACAAATGGTGACGCGTCTTGTAAAATTGATGTCCAATTTATTTGATTTTAATAGCGAAAAGAGTACTAATCGTTGTTATTGTTTATTTGTTTCTACCAATGTTTACTCATACAGAGTACAATAAGTCCGAAGAGTATAGAAGCCAAGATCATAACACCAAGTGTGATGAGAATAAAACCAATAGTACCGATCAATATTGAATTCATACAGAAACTGATTAGAAGAGGTATAGTTGCACCAGGGTGTGGGTGTGGGTGCGGTAAAAAGAAGACTCACGACCACAGCCACAGCCACAGCCACACTCACATCAACATCCACATCCACATCCACACTCACAACAACATCCATATCCACAGCCACACCCGCACCCGCACCCACACCCACACTCACACCCTCACCCTGTAGACATAGTCAGGAGTGTTGAGCCTATCTAATACTCTCTCCGATTGCGCTACTAATTGTCATACAGCTATGTGACGGTTATTTTCTATTTTTTCTTCAATCTCACATAATTTATTATGAATGTATAACTTAAAATTCGGACTTTTTTTTGCTAGTTTCCCTTTTTCGTTCATCTTAGAGACACTCGTCCTTATCGACATTTCTTCTGTTGCTTTACATAATTAGTATTTCATTGGATTTGTCACGAATGGGTTTTATTAGCTGCGATCCAACTTACTTCTTTCTCACTTTGATCAGGACGGCAAGTATTGCACGAAGATCGATGAGAACGAGGAACTTCGAACATAATTAGATAATTTTCGAATAGGTTTTTAGTGTTGGTTTTTTCTGTCAATAAATTATAAAAATGAAATAAAATTTTTGCTTATTTTAGAATTGTTAAGAGTCGTGCAAGCTTAAAAAATTTTCAATTAATTATAATAACACATGATAAAGATTTTGTTGATTGACTTGGTAAATCTGCATATGCAGAAAAATATTATCGTGTATCAAAAACACATAAGTATGTTCTTTTTATCATTCATTAAATATTTTAATTAGTTCTTTTCTTTTCTTTTTTTTTCTCTATAGTGGTCTATCAAAAATTGATGTTTGTAATATTACATCATTTGGTGCTCATTAATCAGATTTTTTAATAGTATAACTGTACATTTTAAAATCTAGTCGAATTTATTCTTTTGTTAATATTATTTTTATAAACAGGAAACAAAACAATCAAGAAATATTTCTCTTGTTTTTTTTATATGTATTGTGATATACTTTTATAAAAGAAAAAGACGAACTAATAAAAATAAAGTTTTTTCCTTTTTTTTTTGACAAGATATAAGAATTTATGATTATAACAGGATACTTGATCTTTATATAAATGATATTTTGACAAACAATAAGAACAATTATTAAATACTTGTAAAAACTGTTGTCTAGCGTCCTCTATTGTTTATTAAAATAAATCAATATAAAAATTTAATAAAAATATTTTCTCTATGATTTGTCACTATTAAAAATAAATCTATGATTATTTTATATTTCATTGAAGTTTATTTAATAGTGATTGGAGATCATGACATACTTATCATTTTATCTTACAACACTTTTTGCTTGTCTTCTCAAGCTAGATTTTCAAGCATTCAACTAGTAGGACCAAACAATCATTAAGTACAAAAATAATTATTGATTATCCATGGACAAAAACTAAAGAAGAAATTGCTGATCTTTATCATGTTGACGAAGACATTGGTCTTCTTGAAGATCTTATCAGACAAAGTTTTGAACGATATGGACCTAATAGTAATTTAAATATATCTATCATACATATTATTCATATTTTCTATATAGAATTACCAGCTGAAGAGAATAAACCATTAGGAAAACTTATTTTAAAACAGTTCGATGATCTTCTAGTCAAAATTTTACTTGCTGCTGCTTGTATATGATTCGTAAGTTTATTATATCATATCATTTTTTTTTATTCGATATTCTTTCTATAATAGGTCTTAGCCTTATTTGAAGAACATAAAGAAGAAGATAGTCTTGTAGCAACTTTTGTTGAGCCACTTGTTATTCTTCTTATTCTTATTGCAAATGCAGCTGTTGGTGTATGGCAGGTAAATATTTAATTTATTTATTTCTTTTTTTTATTCTATATATATATATAACTCAAAATAAATTAGGAACGAAATGTCGAAAGTGCTATTGAAGCATTAAAAGAATATGAATCTGAAACAGCCCATGTTATTCGACAAAGTCGACTGGGACACGTTCAACGAATTAAAGCTCGAAATCTTGTACCAGGAAGTATTGTTGAAGTAACTGTTGGAGATAAAGTTCCAGCTGATATACGTATAACAACAATTTATTCAACAACACTTCGTGTTGATCAATCATTATTAACTGGTGAAAGTGTTTCAGTTATTAAACATACAGATCCAATATTTGATCTAGGTGCTGTTAATCAAGATAAAAAAAAAATATTCTTTTTTCTGTATGATAATAAACTTGCAGATATTTATATAATTAATGTGCACAAATAAATTTTATGGAACAAATATTATAGCTGCCAAAATGTCGAGGTATTGTTATTGGAACTGGTTTAAATACTGAAATTGGTAAGAAATATCAATAAAGTCTCATTGCCATATATGAACTATTTCCCTATTGCATTTTTGGAGGATTAAATAAAATGATGATGATGAAGAAATATATCCCAAAATACATAGAATAAAACGATCTTCTTGTGATTAGCAGAAGCTAACTACATCGTCTTTTTTATTTTAATCCTTCAGGGATTATGCTAACAGCTTTTTTTTTTTTATAGACAATTATTAAGAAGAAGGATTAATAAAGTATTCATCGTAACTTGGAGATCGTGGGTGGTAGAACAGTACTTTTCAATCTTGAAAACAATCCATATCCTTGATTATGTCATTAGAAGATTTTGTCAAAATTTTCAGAATATATTCATTGATAAATTGCTTAGAATAATGTATTTCAATTGTTTGCTTGTTTAGGAAAAATTCGATCGATTATGACCGAAATTGAAGAAGAAAAAACACCATTACAACAAAAATTTGATGAATTTGGTGAACAATTATCAAAAGTATGTGTTATTCTATCAGCAAACGATTATAGAAAATTATCTTTTTAAGGTTATTTCTGTTATTTGTGTTGCTGTATGAGCTATTAATATTGGTCATTTTAATGATCCTGTACATGGTGGTTCATGATTACGTGGTGCAATCTATTATTTAAAAATTGCTGTTGCACTTGGTTTGATTATTTTCATTTTTATTGTTTTAAATTTTATTAATAGTTTTTTCGATATAACTGTAGCTGGAATTCTTAAAGGTTTACCAGCTGTTATAACAACATGTCTTGCATTAGGAACACGTCGAATGGCTAAGAAGAATGCAATTGTACGTTCATTACTATCAGTTGAAATACTTGCTTGTACATCAGTTATTTGTTCGGATCAAACAGGAACATTAACAACTAATCAAATGTCTGTTTGTCGAGTAAGTTTTGTTTTAAATAGAAATAGTTTTGTAATTTTGAAAATTATTCTATTTATATTAGACGTTTATATTCAATAAAGCTGAAAGTAATGATATACAAATCGATCAATTTGAAGTAACTGGATCAACTTATGAACCAAAAGGTGATATTATGTTTAATGAAACAAAATTTAATTGTTCTAATCGTAGTGGATTAATTGAATTAGCTGAATGTGCTGCTTTATGTATTGATTCAGCATTAGATTATAATGAAGTTAGTCTTTCATTTTCTTTTTTCATTTGTTTAATATTAATTTTTTTTTAAATAGTCAAAAGGAGTTTATGAAAAAGTTGGTGAAGCAACAGAAACAGTATTAACTGTTCTCGTTGAAAAGATGAATGTTTTTAATACAAATAAATCACGTTTATCACTACAAGAAATAGCTATATCATCAAATATAATTATTCGTCAAAAATATCGTAAAGAATTTACATTAGAATTTTCATGTGATAGAAAATCAATGTCACCAATATGTTGTTACTGCTGGCAGAGATACTAATGATACTCAATAAACAGCTAAAATGTTTGTTAAAGATGCATCAGAATCTGTTATTGAACAATCTACACATATTCGAGTTGGAACACAAAAAATTTCAATGACTGCACAAATAAAACAAGAAATAATGAAATTAGTTCATCAATATGGAATAGGGCGAGATACATTACGTTGTTTAGCATTAGAAACTATTGATAATCTATTTAAAAAAGAAGATATGGATTTAGAAGATTCAAGTAAATTTAGTACATGAAGTAAGATTATATATTTTATAATAAAAAAGCAAAAATCATTTATTGATATATATATATAGAATAATATAACATTTGTTGGTGTTGTTGAATGCTTGATTCACTACGTTCAGAAGTTATTGATGCTATTTCATGATATCGTGATGCTGGTATTCGTGTTATTATCATAACTGGTGATAATAAGAATACAGCTGAAGCTATTTGTCAACGTATTGGTATCTTTCAAGAATTAGAAGATATACATGGTAAGATAATTTTAATATATATGTCTTTATAAATGATTATCATTTTTACTTTTGCAGACAAAGCATTTAGTGGTCGAGAATTTGATGATCTTTCAAAAAGAAGAACAATCTGAAGCATGTCGTCATACAAAAATGTTTGCTCCTGTTGATTCAACATCCAGCATTAAAAAAAAGCTGAAATTGGTATTGCTATAGGTTCTAGTACAGCTGTAGCTAAAACAGCAGCTGATATGGTTTTAGCTGATGATAATTTTTCTTCAATTGTTGCTGCTGTTGAAGAAGGTCGTGCTATTTATAATAATATGAGATAATTTATTCGTTATTTAATTTCATCAAATATTGAAGAAGTAATTTTTTGATGAATTTAGAGAAATAATAATAATTTTAATGATTTAGGTTGTTTGTATTTTTTTTGACTGCTGCTCTTGGTTTACTAGAATCATTGATTCCTGTTCAATTACTTTGAGTTAATTTAGTAAATGATGGTTTATCAGCAACAGCACTTGGTTTTAATCCACCTGATTTAGACATAATGGAACATCCACCACGTAATCTAAAAGAATCATTAATTACACCATGGCTTTTCTTTCGATATATGGCTATTGGGAGTAAATTAAATTTTTTCGAAAATTTGAATTTGTTTTTGTTCTATGCTCTCATTTTTGAATAGGCTATGTCGGTTTTGCTGTAGTATGGAGTGCAACATGGTGATCAATGTATGCATCGAATGGTCCGAAATTTTCCTATTGGCATTTGGTGTGTATTTATTTTTTACGTAATTTTATGAAATATATTGAACTTTATCAGAACGATTTTTATAATCGAATAAGTAGAATTGGTAAGATAGACAACAAGCTAATAAGCATGAAAGAATATTTTTTTTATAACATTGGCAAAGAAGAATATTATTTATTAATTGATGGTAAATAAAGTCGAGACAAAATTCATTAATGATAATAGCGAGAACAAATTAGTAGTTGAAACAATTTCCTATCAGAATAGGTACTTCTCAAATTTCTATAAACAATTTTAGGTGAAAGATCTCGAGAAAATCAGTTTTCTAGATTCTATCGAAAACGTTTTGCAAATAAGTTCATACAATAGAGGAAACATTTCTAAACAAAATAACATATCCAGCGAATTGTACTCATTCTAGAAAAGTTCCGACTTGATAAAGCATAGTAAATTCAGCTTTTTAGGCTTATGGCACAATGACTGTTGTTCGATCAGATGAATTTGTTTGCAAAATGTTTTTTGATAGAATTCGGAACATAGGTTTTTTTTTGAGTCTTCATTTTCTAGAGATTTGAAAAGTACTTTACCTGATAGGAAATTGTTTCAGCTAATCAAAGCTTTTCTTCGAATTGTTCTAGTTGTGAAAAAAGTTAAGAATATATAATTTCGAAACTTTTTGCTTTCGGCTTAGTTTTAAAACACATATAATCTAAAAGCATGTATTTAATGATTGTCCTATTTTTGATGTAAACAACTGAAATCTATATTTTTTTTTGTATGTAGCAAAATCATTTCAAATGTCGTACTGATGGTAAAGAATGGGAAAATATAAATTGTTCTGTATTCGATGATCCACATCCAATGACAATGGCTCTATCTGTACTTGTTACTATTGAAATGTGCAATGCACTTAATAGGTTATTATTGAAATGAATATATTCAAAAAAAATAATACTAATTTTGTTTTAGTTTATCTGAAAATCAATCTCTTCTTAAAATGGCACCATGGAAGAATAAATATCTTTTATATGCTATTACTTTATCTATGTCATTACATATGATGATTCTTTATATACCTATGTTTAATGTAAGTATTATAATTTTTTTCATATATATATATGATTGAATTAATTTTTTCTTTTAGACTGTATTTCAAATTTGTCCACTTTCATTAGAAGAATGATTAGCTGTAATTAAAATTTCTCTACCAGTTATATTATTAGATGAATTACTTAAATTTATTGCACGACAATATATTTATCGTAAGAGTTTTAATTTATTATGAATAAGATTTTTTTTTTATTATTCTTGTTATTTTTATTTTAGTTACTGTAAAATCTAGGGTGGCGGGTGTGGGTGTGGGTGGTGGTGTGGGTGGGTGTGGGTGTGGGTAGGGGGGGGGGGGGTGCGGGTGTGGGTGTGGGTGTGGGTTATTCTTCTTCAATAATCTACACCCCACACCCACACCCACCCACACCCACACCCCACACCCACACCCACCCACACCCACACCCTCTTCGAACTAAACGGGGATTGGGGTGAGTTAGAGCGTATTTCACTAACATCTCTTGGAAATTGAGTATCTCGAGAAAGACATGTTCATTTTCATTGAAACTTTTAGATAGGGATATACCGATCCCTAGAACATGATATCAAAAATGATCTTTTTTTCCTTAGTAAGAGTTTGATTCTCTGTGAATTATCTATATCAGCCATGACCACTTTCTCTGGCTCTAGCCAAAGATGTAGTCGAAATTCATAAAAGACAAAAAAACAAAGCTTTCGTAATCGTTAGTTTTTTTCGCACAATTCTCACTGGTTCTGACATTTGTGTTTTGCATCAGGCAAAACCTAAGAATAGATTGATAAAGGACATTCAAAAGTAATCACAAATGATGTGAACAACCGCCAGAAGTTCGGTAGTTTTCAATACTGCGCATGTGTTTTTATGAGCAGGGACAAAGTAATTCCTTAAATTTCTAACCGGAGATTAGAGTACTGATATTTATTGGACTCCTAGCGATTCTTCACAGCAGTTTTCAACGCTCTTTCTGAATCTAGCCTTAGATTTCATCTGGTAAACACCAATCTCAAAATCGGTTGAAAAAACTGAAAATTGCAAATTTTTGACCATTCCGAAACCTTTGTTTTCTCTTTCATGAATTTCCATTACAGCTTCGGATAAACGCTAAATACTGATTATGGCTTATAGAAACATTCCGCAAGCAACTACATTCTTGAAATAGGAAAAAACTGTCATTTTTAACATCAGCTAGGAATTGGTGGATTCTTGATTATTAAATATACTTATAGACAAGATTTTAGATAAAATCTTTTTGTTTTTCTAAAACGCTTGTTCTCAATAAAAAAAAGTTCGCGTACCGTTAACAAGTCTGCACTAGTAAACGATAATCAGAAATTGTTGAGGCTTATGTTAATTTCATAAAGACCTACTCAAAGCCATAATATGAAGTGAAACCCCAGCTAATCGTTGAATAAGTTGGCTCGTTACTTAAATGAATATTTATTATTTTCATTATTTTTAGACACTCGAATGTTCATATTTACTTCGTATAAAT